ATAGAACTTTGAGCAAAATGGAAAATTTCCTCCAAATGATGCCTAAAACTGTGCAACAAGTGTAGCACATGCTTACAAGACTAAATATGAACACAGGCCTCTGGCACGCTCTGCAATGTTGTCCGTATCAAGTCCGTCCACGTTCCAGGTGATCATGGACAGTTTACCATCAGCTTCTTCTGAAGGTTTCCGTGTGGTAGCAGGACTGTCTGCAGTCAAATCTATGCTGCAAATGTTTCCACAGACAGTTTGGCTAAAATGCAACGAGTCATAAGTAAACTTCACCATACACAGAAAAGACAGCAGACTCACCAGTTTGCAACAGGGGCATCTTCAACCTTCTGCCTCTTAGCTTTGGGGGTGGTGTCTTTCTCTGGAAGCTCCTCAACATCAAACACTCTCTCCATGTCTGCCTCAAAGAATGAGTTCAAGGCTCTCTGAAGGAAAAGAGAAAGGAATGTGCTGCTTATCACAGGGCTAAAAAATAAAAAAAATATCAGGACTTGGCTGTATATACATCCGTATTCCAGCATCAGCATCAATGTAATGCTTTTAGCTACAGGCTCTCATTTAATCAGTAAAATAACCCGAAGCTGTGCTGAGTGCAATTAAAAGTGCCCATTTGGACTCCGGCTACAACACCAAAGTTACACTCAGCTGGTGTATGTACCTCCATCTCCCAGTCATTCTCAGCCAGGTAGCACTGAGCCACGGCGCTTTCAGTTCCCGCTATGGCTGCAAACTCGTCACAGAGGCAGCTTCTTTTTTCCTCCAAGTTAGAAACTGACGGTGTGTCCGACTCCGAGGTAGAAGCCATCTTTATTAGACACCAGTTTTGCACGAGTACACCTGAAATAAAGAATTAAAACCAAACATTAGCCCATCTTTTCTCTCTGCAAGTTCTCTAAGGTGTACCCATGAAATACGTCCGGGTGAACTTGCTAAACAGTTTCTAATTCGGATATATTGAAGCTTTAAATAAGACTTTTTAGGGTTGGTATACCATTTCATAAGACTCCATACCATTAAAATCTACTTTGTATTATAAAAAATATTTAACTAAAAGAAGGCTAGGAAAAAAAACTATTACAATTAAAATTTTATACGCACGCGGTGCTTGTTTACCTTCTTTACTGTGGCTGGCCAGTTAAAGTTTCACCCGGACCGTTTTGCGGCACGCTACAGTTTCCGGCGGTGTAAGATAAACAGAGGTTTGACATTGGCTTCATGAAAAGGTATTAAACACACACACCGTGCCGTTAACAATGGCTTCGCTTACTTTAAACTCCCTAAAACATGTAATGAGAGCTATGGTGGATAGCCCAGGCTTCGACAGGGTACTTAGCAAGGTAAATATGGACAGTTTGTGCCAATTAGTTTTTGGTTTAAGCGCAGAAAAAAGCCGGATAGTGTCTGTATTGTTGCGCTGACATAAAAACAACTCTGTGTTTTCTTCAGGTGGACATTTTGTCTGCCAGCCCCGGTAAAGTGGTGTGTGAGATGCGGGTAGAAGAAGAGCACACAAACCGGGGAGGGACGCTGCACGGCGGGCTAACAGCCACACTGGTTGATATCGTATCCACCATGGCTATCATGTACAGTGAGAGGGGGGCACCGGGGGTCAGCGTGGACATGAATATAACGTGAGTCCATAACTATTGTAAGCCTTTCTGGGAACAGGTTTTACGCCTCAAAACTCTGGTATAAGGCAGATCTGTCTGTAAAAAGTAGCAGGCAGGGTTCAAGGTTCAATTGAAATATGTAAAATGAACCTTCACAGGGTCCTACAACACGGACCCAACACCAACCAGACTTGTGCTGGTGTAGGGTTATTTTCATGCAAAAACGTTAAGTTTTTTTTTTTTTATGTTTTGCCGTTTGTACTGCAGACATGGTTGTAGCATATTTTTACTTTTATCTGTCACCTTTTGTACATTATACTATTTTTGTTTTCCTCATAAATGGATAAATGTGAACACTTAGTCCAAAATTACTTTACTATCTTTATTGAATTTATCTGTGCTCAGGATAGGCACCAGGGGTACACCAGTTTGTGGAGTGACCAGGGCTAGGGACAGGTCAGGTTGAGTGGTTTGGAGAGGCTGAGATGGTTTTAGCATTTTCACACAAATATAACAGGCTTGTTCCTTTATGTTTAACACATTAAGTCTTTATTTCTCATTGCTGTGCACCTTCAAACAGCAAACCAATTTGAACCTAAATTAAAGGAATAATAACACATACAAGGTGTATGCATCAGCTGGGCTTATCGCACAGAACAAGATGAAAAACAGGGCTCGCAAAATCGCTAGCCCGATGTCCCGGGGCTAGCGATTTTTCCAGTCGGGCTACCAAAATCTATCTCTGCCCTGCCCGTCGGGCTATCATAGGAAGGAAAAAT